CTCCCCCCGCACCCCCCCCCCCAAAAAAAGGTAGATCACCTCAGCCAGATGATCAAGGTCAACATCAACAGTGAATAAGTATGTTATAGTACATAACCTTGATTAAAATGTGATGAAAATGTACTTTACCTCTGTGGTCTTCCTCCCAAAAACACACTATTCCAATTCAACCATGAGGAAAACAAGACAAATTCAAACAGAGGAACATTCTACCGAATACCTGGCCATTATGCCTCAAAACTTTCCAAGTCATCAAAAACAAAGAAAATGTCACAGACAACAGGAGCCTAAAGAGTCACGAGAACTAAGTGTAATGGATATCCTGGATGGAATCCTGTTAACACAGAAATGACATGAGGTAAAACAATAACCTGAAGCAATCTGAGTAAGCATGGACTTTACTTAAGGATCAAGATAAATTCCTAGAAGTGGGACTGACGGGTTAAAAAGCAAATACACTACAGTTTTGCTATACACTAGTAAATTCCTCTCCATAAAGGTTGTAATAATTTGTAGTCCCATCAGAAATGTATGAAGGTATCCCTTCTCCCACAGTCTTGTCAACATAAGGCACTGTCACACTGTTTAACTTTGCCTCCCTGCAGATAAGGAATAGTATCTCAGTATATTTAATTTGTATTTCTCTGACTAGTGAGGTTGAACATCTTTTTACATTTTAAAGGCCATCTTTCCTCTTTTTGTAAATTGTCTCTCATGCTTTTGCTCATTTTTCTCTTTGATTTTTGGCCTTTTATTCCCCTCCTTTTTTTTTCATAAAGGCAGGGTCTCACTCTGTCACACAGGCAAGTCTGTCCCACAGGCTGATGCGTAGTGGCTCACAGTTCACAGCAGCCTCAAACAATTGGGTAAGTGATCCTACTGCCTGAACCTAGGCATGTAGCTAGGACTACAGGCATGTGGCATGCACAGCCAATTCTATTTTTATTTTTTGCAGAGACAAGATCTTACTGTGTTGCCCAAGCCAGTCTGGAAGTCCAGGCCTCAAATGATCCTTTAACAATCTCTGATTTTATTGCCTCTGGAATGCAGAGCCCTTACTTAGCCACACTTTCCTTACACCTAGGTTATATGAGAATTTATCCAGGTTTTCTTAGTATTTGTATGGTTTCGTTTTTGACATTTAGATGACTGCTCCATTAGAAGATGATGAAGATGACTCATATGTATGGTATTCTAACTTTTTTCCAACAACTATATAATTGTCTCAATGCTATTTACTTAAAAATTTATCTTCCAAACCTCTACCTTTAGCCATCAAAGAATAAACTGAACAAAATACATAAAACAACTATTTTCATATATTGAAACGACAGACTGCAGGAGTGTGACACCTGAAAGAAAGAAACAAAACAAGTGAACCCTACATTCACCTAGGTTTCTAACTAGAGACAATTTCCAAACTATGTAGCAGAGAAGAGAATGGCGGTTTCACTGAGTTGAGGAGGCTGTGCAGGTTGGGGCAGCTGGCATTTGTGAGGTAGAGATACACAGCAAAAGAACTCCAGAAATCTACATAGGGCTGCCTTCACTGCACATGTCAATAAACTTTAACAAGGCCTATCACTATGAAGAACAACTAGAGCAACTAGAAGCTGAAAAACGCTGAGAGCTCACACAGGGCAGGGAGTCAATGGAGCTCTTATAAGCCAAAGTAGAGATCTCATTGAACATTCAAGTCAATCAGTATAGAATCCAGAAGAATTATATAAGCCATCGGGCTACACTAACCCTAGAGTAAAGGCTATGCCAGGTATGCCTTAAATATACGTAAAAACACGAAGTGCCTGCTGATTCAAAGGTAAAATCCAAGTCATCAACGATGGTCAGCCTCAAACAAAAAGCCAGTAAACATGTTTTTTGTAGAAATTGACAAGCTGATTCTAAAATTAATATGGTAATCAAAATAACCTAGAATAGCAAAACAATACTGAAAAAGAACAAATTGGAGGATTTCACTATATGACTGAGACTTACTACAAGGCAACAGTAATTAAGACAGCATGGCACTGGTGTTAAGAATAGACATAGAAATCAGCGAAACAGACTAGAGAGCCCAGAAATAGACCCACTCACATATGGTCAACTGATTTTTGACAAAGAGACCATGGTAAATCAGTGGAGATAGAACAGTCTCTTGAACATATGGTGTTGAGACAACTGGCTACCCACAGGCAAAGAACATCAGCTTCAACTCACACATCATACCATACACAAAATTAACATGAAATCTCAGATAAGAATACACAACTATGAAAAGAAAAAAATGAAAACATTAGCTTAAAATGAATCATAGACCTAAATGTAAAGCTAATATCACAGAACTAAAAGAAAACACAAAAGAGTATCTTTGTGACCAAAGAATACACAAAGATTGTTAAGATACTACAAGTACAAACCATGAAAGAAAAAAAATGACTTTATCAAACTACAAGCTACTCTTTGAAACACATCCTAAAGGAAAAAAAAAAGCTGCAGCCAGCGAAAATATTCAAAATACACTTATCAAAGGACCTGTATGCCAAATAATAAAAAGAATGCTTATAACCCAGTCATAAAGCAAACAACCCAATTTTAAAATATGGGCAAAAGATTGTATATGAATGGCCAATAAGCACATGAAAAGATGCTCAAAATCATTAGTCATCAGGGAAATACAATTTAAACCAGAAGGAGATACTACTACATATCCACACAATAGCTGAAGTTAAAAGGTTTATAATATTAAGTGCTGGTGATGGAGAGTGGTAGGAATGTAAAGTAGTATAGAATGGACAACAGTTTGGCAGGCGTTTATGAAGTTAAATCTATACTTACCACATGACCTAGTCATTCCATTCCTAGGTATTTACCCAAGAGAAATAAAAAAATTTCCACACAAAGACTTGTACATGATAGTTGGGCACGGTGGCTCATGTACGGGAGGCCGTGGCAAGTGGATCACCTGAGATCAGGAGTTCGAGACCAGCCTGACCAACATAGTGAAACCCCACCTTTACTAAATATAGAAAAATGAGCCGGACATGGTGACTACGCCTGTAATCCCAGCTACTTGGGAGGGTGAGGCAGGAAAACTGCTTGAATCCAGGAGGCAGAGGTTGCAGTGAGCTGAGATTGCACCACTGCACTCCAGCCTGGGCAACAGATCAAGATATTGTCTCAAAAATAACAGACTTGGGAATGAATGTTGATAGCAGCTTTACCCAAAACAGCACGGCTGCAAACTGTTTATTTGCCTACATGTCCATCAACAGGTAAATAAACTGTGGCAAAACCATACAATGAAATGCTACTTAGAAATAAAAAAGTATGACAGAGCAAAATATAAGACTATACAATGTAGTGTACATTTCTAGCAAATTCTAGAACTGTGAAACTCATCTACATCAACAAATAGTAGTATAGTGATTCCCTGGTCAAGAGGTGAGGGTTGGGGACTCACTGTGAAGGGGCACAGGAAACTCTCTGCTAGAAATGTTTTAGATCTTGACCGTGATGGTGGTTGCATGGGTGTCTGTATTTTACAAAACTCACCACACTGCATATTTAAAATAGATGCATTTCCTTACATGTAAATCACATCTCAATAAAGTTAATTTTCTAAGTCCATCTTTAGTTCCAGTAATTTGAGAAGCCACCTTTACTATAAAAAATCCATTTGAAAGAAAAAAAATGTTTAAATTGATTTCAATTTAAAAATAGTCATGGACCAAAAAGCAATATACAAATATAAACATAAAGCAAAGATTACTTAAAAGCAAGGACTGAAAAACTCTGGCCCTTAATCTGATTAACCTAGGAAATAACAACAAGATTTACCATCCTTATTTACGTCTAGCATTACAAATGCTAGACACACCATAGACATTAGATGTAGCACACCATACATCTAAACGGCTGTACTGGCAAAATGCTCTATATCAAGACTGAAATGTGACTCCACAGTCTCTTTCTCTCCACCGGGCCTCTCTGCTGCCAGACCCTCTCTCCTTTGCTGTCTCTGACTATAACTGACCATAGACAAATTGAAATATTCTACTTTAACACAAATAATTAGTTCCTGTTTTTTAAACAGTGAACACTTTATGCAGTTTTTACTTTAAAAACTGAAACATTATGTTTTATTTATATGGTCTTGTTCACTTTGATCTATGTGTATAGTGAAAATAGCTCAAAGTATATTGTCGTCAACAATATTATTTGAACTAGTAAAAATACCTGACTTCACATTTTATAAGTCCTACTTACCACCTTTCTTTTGGTCTATGAATTTTACTCATTTAAGGGATACTATTATGATAATTTGATGTATCTACAGTTTATGGATATCATTAGAAAAAGAACATCATATAATGCTAATGAAAAAACAAATGCTTCTTATAACAACTGTGTCATATATTGAATATATAAATAAAAGCTAAATATTCAACAACTATGAAAATATCAGCTTGATTCAATGCATTCCAAATATGGGCTCCTTTCCTATTTTGGTTTTAACCATGTAATTTTACTTCCATTCCACTAACAACTAAACACATCAGATTAAGCCAATCATAAATTTAGTTTATGTCTAATTATGTAACATGTTTTTATTACCATTAAACACAGAATGGTAGCCATCAAAGAGCAGATAATCTTAGAATAATTCCATTATAATCAGAATTGTCAGAGGTGAATATAACTGTTCTAGTGCCCTATAATTAGGAAAGACAAAGCATTTTACTGTAAGAAGATAGATTCCAACCGCTACATACCAGTTCAGAAGTTGTCTAACAAATACCATGCTTGATGATTACTAATCATAAAAGAAAGTACTTTGTTGGGGTGAGGGAATCACACACATCAAGTGCTAATCTTTACTAAACTCAGACTCCTTACTAAGACATTATCATTCCCTTCTATTAATGGAGATAACATTTTACATCAGTGCGTTATACCTAAGTTTCATTTTGGCTTTACAGGTTGTTTTTCTGAACTCTTACATTTTTGTGACATTCCTTAAGCAAGTTAATCAAGATGTTGCACTCTTCAGTGTGCAAGTGTGGAGATAAGTCAGGATGCATCTTTAGGAGATGATGACGGATCACAGCAGTGCAACCTGTGGATACAAGAGTGTCTTGAATATGCATAAATATACCTGTTATGCCACCTAAAAGTATCTTCAGTGAGAACCTTCAGTGACCTTTATCAGAGAAGTATGTTAACCATTAACCAGCTGTGTGACCTTAGGAAAATTATTAAACTTGAGCCAAAGCTTTCTTATTCAATGATTTCACATATTGAACAAGTTATCAGTAGTGTTTAGAGAACGTGCAGGTTCAGGAGAGACCAATCCTGCAAGTAAGTGCCACGGCAGAAACAGCCTGCTTATAAGCAATAAGCCTGGCTTCACATATTTTCACCACAATCTCGACATTGATTACATCTCCTTCTGTTGACATGAAATTCTACCAATTAAGAGAAGTGGCTTATTATTTTAAAATGTATATTATTCTGAGGGTTAAAAGGCCATTAGTCTCATACTGGTGTGAATTAATATAGATCACTTTCCTCATAAGAGCTGGCTGAAAAAAAAACTAAACAATGAAATGAAACAAGAAGTTGTGAGAAAAAAAGTTCAAATTTAACAGACACAGCGGTAACTAATTACCACACTGAAAACATGAAGCTGAAATCCCTGAAATTATGCTTAAGTTGTTCATTCACAAAGTGAAAAATTAGCAGCCAAGGTCAAAGGAAAAACACAGGCTGTGTGTGTGTGTGTGTGTGTGTGTGTGTTATGGTACAATCAGGGGTCTTGCTATTTTGCCCAGGCTGTTTTCAAACTCCTGGCCTCAAGTGATCCTCAGCCTCCCAAAATGTTGTGATATGCGTGCACTACAGCACCCCACCTGCACTTAAGCTATTCTTTCTAACTCAGAAATGATTACCCAAAGAAAGAAACAATTAGTTCCTTTAATTTTTGAAAAGTTCCAAATAGAAAACAGGAACCAACTCACATCCTTTACGATGGCTACCACCGAAAAACCCCAGAAAATAACAAGTGCTGAAGAGGATGAGGAGAAACTGAAACTCTTGTGCACTGCTGATGGACATGTAAACTGGGATAGCTTCTGTGGAAACTGGTACAGCACTTCCTCAAAATACTAAAAATGAAATTACCATATGATTCAGCAATTCTACTTCTGGCTATATACTCAGAAGAAGTAAAAGCAGGGTTTTGAAGAGAGATATCTGAACACCCATGCTCACAGCATATTACTCACAATAATTAAAACATGGAAACAACTCAAGAGCCCAATAGACCAACAGATCAGCACCAAGTGGTATATACACTCAACGGAATACTATTCAGCCTTAAAAATGGAAGAAAATTCTGACATATGCTACAACATGGATGATCTGTGAGGACATGCTGAGTGAAATAAGCCAGTCAAAAAACATATATATAGGGTTCAACATACACAAATCAATAAATGTGATTCACCACACAAACAGAATTTTAAAAACCATGTGACTATTTCAACATATGCAGAAAAGCCTTTGATAAAATTCAACATCAGTTCATGGTAAAAACCCTCAACAATCTAGGCATTGAAGAGCATAACTCAAAATAATAGGAGCCATCTATGACAAACTCACAGCCAACATAATACTGAACAGGCAAAAGATGGAAGCATTGCTGGGCGTGGTGGCTCACGCCTGTAATCCCAGCACTTTGGGAGGCCGAGGTGGGTGGATCACGAGGTCAAGAGATAAAGACCATCCTGGTCAACGAGGTGAAACCCCGTCTCTACTAAAAATACAAAAATTAGCTGGGCATGGTGGTGCGCGCCTGTAGTCCCAGCTACTTGGGAGGCTGAGGCAGGAGAATTGCTTGAACCCAGGAGGCAGAGGTTGCGGTGAGCCGAGATCACACCATTGCACTCCAGCCTGGGTAAACAACAGTGAAACTCCGTCTCATTAAAAAAAAAAAAAAAAAAAAGATGAAGCATTTCCCCTGAGGACCAGAACAAGGGAACAGGATGCCCACTCTCACCACTGTTATTCAACACAGTATTGGAAGTCCTAGGCAAAGCAATCAGCCAAGAGAAATAAAAGGCACTCAAATTAAAAAAGAAGTCAAACTCTCTCTCTTCACTGACGATATGATTCTGTACTCAGAAAACTCTAAAGACTCTCCCCGATGACTTAAGTTTCAGGATACAAGATCAACATGGAAAAATCAGTAGCATGTCTATACACCAATACCGTTCAACCTGAGAGCCAAATCAAGAATGCAATCCCATTTTCAACTGCCCCCCCCCAAAAATAAAATATCTAGGAATACATCTAACCAAGGAGGTAAAAGATCTCTACAGGAAGAACTACACAACACTGCTGAAAGAAATCATAGATGACACAAAGGCTAATGTAAAAACATTCCATGAGACACAAACACATAGAAAAACATGTGTTTGGATACTGATTGGAAGAATCAGTATCATTAAAATGGCCATATTGCCCAAAGCAATCTACAGATTCAACACTATTCCTATCAAACTACTAAGTAATCTTTTTTCACAGAGTTAGAAAAAAAAAAAAAAAACACTCTAAAATTCATATGGAACCAAAAAGGGGCTCAAATACCCATACCAATCCTAGGCAAAAAGAACGAAGACCAAAGGTATCATATTACCCTACTTTAAACTATAAGGTTACAATAACCAAATCGGCATGCTTCTCCTACAAAAATACACACATGGACCAATGAAACAGAACAGAGAGCCCAGAAATAAAGCTGCACACCTTCTGATCTTTCACAAAGTCGACAAAAATAAGCAATGGCAAAAGGACTTTCCATTCAATAAATGGTGCTGGAATAGTTGGCTAGCTATATGCAGAAGAATAAAAGTAGACCCCTACATTTAATCATACATAAAAATTAACTCAAGGTAGAGTAAAGATTTACACAGAATGCCTCAAACTGTAAGAATCCTAGAAGAAAACCCAGGAAACACCATTCTGGACATTTGTCTTAGGAAAAAATTAAGACTAAGTACTCAAAAGCAATTATAACAAAAACTGAAACCTAATTAAACTCGAGTTCAGAATAGCAAAAGAAGCTATAAACAGAGAAAAGAGACAATCTACAGAATGTGAGAAAGTATCACAAACTATGCATCCAACAAAGATCTAATATCCATAATCTATAAGGAAATTAATTCAACAAGTAAAAAATAAATAACCTGATTAAAAAGTGAGCAAAAGACATGAACAGTCACTTCTCAAAAGACGACATATGAGTGGCCAACAAACGATAAAAAATGCTCAACATCACTAACCGTCAGAGAAATGCAAATCAAAACCACAACGAGATACTACCTCACACCAGTCAGAATGGCTATTATGTTAAAAAGTCAAAAAAACACAGATGCTGAGGGAGGCTGTGAGAAAAAAGAATACTTACACACTGTTCTGGGAATGTCGACTAGTCCACCCACTGTGGAAAGCAGTCTGGAGATTTCTCAAAGAACTTAAAACAGCTGTCACTTGATCCAGCAATCCTATTATTGGGTATATAGCCAAAAGAAAATAAACCATTCTACAAAAAGACACATGCACTCATATGTTCCTTGTAGCACTACTCACAATAGCAAAGACAGGGACTCATCCTAAGTGTCTATCAGTAGTGGACTGGATAAAGAAAAAATGGTACATATACACCATGGAATACTAAACAGCCATAAAAAAGAACGAAATCATGTTCTTTGCAGCAACATGGATGCAGCTAGAGGCCATTATCCTAAGTGAATTAATGCAGCAACAGAAAGCCAAATACAGCATATTCTAACTTAAACATGATAGCTAAACACTGGATACTCACAGAGATAAAGATGGCAACAACAGACACTGGGAATAGAGGGTAGAAGGAGGGTAAAGGCTGAAAAACTGTTAGATACTATGCTCACTACCTGCATGATGGGATTAATCGTACCCCAAACCTTGGCATCACCCAATATACCTATGTAACAAACCTGCATATTACCCCCAAAATCTAAAATAATAGTTGACATAGTTTTTAAAAGGCAAATACTGTAACATTCCTCTTATATGAGGCACCTAAAGTAGTCAAAGTCAAAGAGACACAAAGTAGAATGGTGGTTACCAGGAGGAGGCAGAAGGGCAGGAGCAGAAGAACGGGGAGTTATTGTTTAATGGGTAGAAAGTCTTACAAGATAAAAAGTGTTACCGAGGTGGGTGGTGATGATGGTTGGCAACATTATTAATGTGTTTGATACCAATGAACTGTGTATTTAAATGGTTAAGATGGCAAATTTTATGTCATATGTGTTTCACCATGTGAATTTTATGGTATATAAATTATACCTCAAGCTGTCAAAAAAAAAAATCTGAGAAATTTTGCCCTTCTCCTCCCTAAAATACCTTACCACCTTTAACTGACCACTTGTCCCAATCTACAAAACCAACTCTTATCCTACCACCCTCCACTGATTCTCTTTTCAGACTCAGCCCGCCTGCACAAGGGTGAATAAACAGCCATGTTGCTCACACAAAGCCTGCCTGATGGTCTCTGGACGTGCCTAACATTTGGTGCCAAAACCTGGGAGGTGGGAACTCCTATGGGAGACCAAACCCCCTTGCCTGCTCTCCTCGTGCTCCCTCCGTGAAGAGACCTACCTATGACCTAGTTTCATCTGACTAGCCCACATATCCACTCACTATTCTCAGATCTGGTAAGTGGTTTGCCTCAACTCTTCTCTTTAGCCCTTCTCACTGCCTGTCAGCTTCCCTCTCCTTTCGTTTCATTTTCCTCTCCCTTTCAGTGGAAACAAGAAAGACAGGACTTTCTGTGAGGTTCATGACCAGAAAAAAATCCCACATGGGTCACAGAACCGGGAAGACAGCCTTCCCTCAGTGACTGATCACTGCAGACACGTCTGCTCTGGTCACTCACTCGTGCTCACTCACAGGTGATGGATTAACACAAGGGATGCCCCTTTGACTGATTCACCCCAGGTACAAACCAAGGTTCAGTCTGGGACGCCTGCTAAACTGCTTGGTTGCACATTCACTTTCTTTGCCTCCGCTGCTCTT